GAGTGTATATATATATATATTATATAGTAGACATATAAGAATGCCTTATTCTTAGAATTGGGATAAAATAATTTCAATGTAATTTCTGAAAGTTTGTGTGTCTTGGTGTGTCTATCAGATCCATGGACAGCACAGGTGATCAATAAAAAGGCTGAGAGTTACAAAGTGATCGCTTCTTGTCAGAGAATGACCTAGCACCCTGTAGGGTTGTGCTTATATCTTATGCTCTAAGAGCAGCTGTTTCAATGAGTTATGGAGAGGAAATAACCATTGGTATTTTTGACAATTCAGTATAGTAATGCACTTAGAATTTTAGATAGTTCATCTTATATAAAGTTTCTTTCATTGATGTTTTTCTCTGCAGAACACAGATTGTACAATATGAGATCAAACGTATTTTCAAAAATAAAGCTATGAGTAAATGAATTGTCCTCTAGATGATATAATAAACTTCCCAAGAGAGTGCCCATAATTCACTAACACAATAATGGTAGGAGGTGTAAATTTGGAGATTAATTTTAAAATACATTCATCCAACTTGAAATAAAAAGCATCAACATATACATTTACCATCAATGAAGAAATATTTTTGATTGCTTGTTTATTTGTGCTTGTTTTATGTTGTTTTCTTTTGTTTGAGACAGAGTCTCACTAAGTAACCCTTGCTAACCTGGAACTCACTCACTATTCAGACCAGGTTGGCCTTGAAAACATAGAGATCCATGTACCTCTGCCTCCCAAGTGCTAGGATTAAAGTTTTATGCTACCATGCATGGCCAAAACCCTGACTGATAATGGTTTTGATTTTTTGTTTCTTTCTTCTATAAAATTTAAATGTCTATGCAATTTTACAAATGATTGATTCATCAAGTATTCTATTGGCTACTGAAGTACTACATTTTAAGTAGGAACTTAAATGACAAAAATCTCATAACAAATATTCAGTCATTGACTATTTGGAATTCTGAAGTTGGAAATTTGAAGTTCAAGAAATTTACAATTCCAATCTTCTTTTAAAGGAAGCACCTCAGTACAGTGCCTACCTGGTTCAATGCCTTGTGGTGATGCTTGGAACTGTATAGAAATTGATTTATTTTGTGATGGGGAAGTGAACTGCCCTGATGGTTCTGATGAAGACAGTGAAATCTGTGGTAAGGACCCCACTCCTTTTTCTGCTCCCTGACTGCACCACCCCACAATCTCAACTATGTGAAACTAATGAAAAATAAGCAATTTCAATAACCATATGCATAATTTAATACAAAATATAATTATATTCTTTTTATAAACTTTTATGACTGGATATCATTTAGAAAAGTTTATGAGAATCCACTTTCTAATTGAATGTTAGTTTTGTGTATAGCTGATCACCATGTAAGTGTGAGTTCAGATTGTAAACACTGAAAAGAACCATTTTCTAAGTCTAATCCAGAATTCATTTTTGAACAATTAAACAGAAAGCATGAATTAAGAATGTTTTCATTTTTTAATTCATGTCACCATTTTCATTTACTTTATTTTCTGAGACAGAGTCTCATTATGTAGCTCAGGCTGACCTGGAACTTACTATCGTGATGCACCTGCATCAGAGCCCAAGTGTAAGTGTTTTATAATTTCTTTGAAAACTGCGGGTGAGTACAGTTAGTTCCTAAACTATTTTAGGGATGCTTTTTTTCCATCTGCTGTTTGTTACAACTTTCTTATCTTACTTGACATTAATTGAAGATGCATGTTCCAATATGGACCAAAGTTTTTTTTTTTAAATTACCTATCCATTAGGTACATATGTTGTTATAAGACAAGCACTTGGTCTGTTTCCCAGTAACAATTCAGCAAAAGGCAACTGTACTAAAAAGACTTCCTTTCAGTATTCCCAATTCAAATATTCTTGGATAAAATTCAAGCCTGCAAAGTTTAACTACGTACTTTGAAGTGCACTTCTAATGTATTGGAAGAAAGTGCGTGCTACAGAATATTTAAAACTATTTTATATAAGTTAATCAAAGAAGAAGAGAGCGGTCTTCCTGTTATGCTTTTCGGCATTTTCCAAAGCCTTTTCAAGGAGAATATGGTCCAAGTGTGCCATCGTGAGGTGACAATGGTGATACTGATTTCTGTTTGAAAAATAATCTGTATCAAATTTAGGGGCACAGTTTAAGCCTCTATAATGATGGTCAACAACTTTAAAGACAGAAAATGATTTAACATATTAGGCAAATCAAATAATTTTAAAATGTGTCACCAGTTCTTTCGTCTTTTTCCTCATGGAGTTTGTAATTCTCATAAGTTGGTGAAGACGCATGTCAAAAATTAGTGGTACTATTCCTGAGTGAGAAATTGTCTCTAAATAAGTTTTAAAGAAATAATATTTTTCTGAGTCACACAAATTCATGTGATGAGACTCAGTGCTACAACCAAGTTAAATATCTAAATTTTTTTAAATACATGATAATATGCATCATTTCTTTTCAGTAGCATATAGCCTTACATTTATAAAACTTAGTTTTCCACGTGCCTGTCTTTCTTGAGTTTCAGTGAACTCATTTTCCATTTCCTTCATTCTCTTATATGCAATTTAATAATAGTATTGTAGCTACTTCTAAAAAATAGCTTAAAATCATTTCTGAGATAAAGTAGTATAAAAATCAATCAAATGAACTATGTTTCAACAGCTAGAGCTTTAAAGCACAGATAGTTTTATCCATTTTAATCTCTGGTAGTGATGTGCTCCAAAATCAAAGACACTTCCTTTTAGCACTGACTCAAACTTTCACCAGCAAGACACCATCTCAAAGCCCTCCTCCACCAATCTATACTCAGGGGTAAAAAACCTCACAAGCTAATTTAAGAGTTTTCTCGTGATGAAATTGACCTTTGATCTCTTGCTTATTTATTAATTTTACCCTAGCTGTGAGCTCTATTCTACTTTGTGTTATTAACAGAGTCACATTAATGTTGACTTCCTCACACAGTTTATTTAGTCTCTTGTTAGGTTTCACAACATATAGCTGACTATAGCTTAAATAAGATGTTTTAAAAAATTGTTTGTCTCTTCTGATTAGAACTGCATCAGCAAGAAAGTTCACTTTTTACCTGACCTAAAAGAAGAAAAGATGCTAACTCAGAGTCTTTAGGTCAAGAAGCAGGACTATTTCAAAGTTGGCAGGAGTTCTCTTAATTTCCATGCTCAAATATGTGTGCATAATAACAGCATAGATCACATTTAATTTATACATCCTGGAGAATTCAAAACCCGAGCAGATAGACAATTAGCAAATATTGAGCCAGCAGAGGGAGCTCTCAGTGGGTCCCAGTCTCACCTGCAGGATTCTGCCATTGCCAGCAGCCCTTCTGAGAGCTCACAGAATATCTGCTGTCATCTGCACACTCATCTGCCTCAACTAAGAATCGTTTTTCTGATGCTACTCTAAGAGGCTCTGAGAAGTTCACATACTCACAATTATAAACAATTTATTCTTTAGTGGCTGAGATATTTTGATCTTGAAAACCTTTTTTATTTCACTTTGTAGGATAAACATCCTACAAAGAATATACAAAGCCATCAACACAATCCTCCATCCACCCCTGATATTTTGGCATCCAGAAATTTTCTATTATGAATACTTTAATACTTTTGTAATTTTATTTTATATAACTTTGGGAATAGTCCACACTTTTTAATATCTATAATTAAAAAGACTTTATTAATTTCAAGAATTAATCAAGACTTGATTATTTATTATCAGTAGAAATTTACAGATTTATAGAAAGCTAGAGAAGCAAATTGACCATATTATGTAAGACAGGATATGTACCATGATACAAAAATACTAGCTACTTAGGATAATAATAATCTACGTATATCACAGACCAAGAAACACACCTAGGCATTTAGGATGCAAAGCTTCCTATGACACCCATAAATTGATCTTAGGCAAGGGAAGAAACCACAATTGGAAATAAACACAATTATTTCTACAATAGCTGCTCAAGTGTTATAGTTACTTTCCATTTACTGTCATAAAACACTGTGACCAAATTCAACTTGGGGAAGAAAAAGATTATTTGACTTACCTCCCTATCACAGTTCATCACTGAGGGAATCTAGGGCAGGAACTGAAGGCAGGAACTTGGGAGGCAGGAAGTGAAGCACAATCCACAGGGGATTACTGCTTACTGGCTTGCTCCTTAGGTGTTCTTAGACTTTTTTGTTTTTTAGAGAATCTAGGCCCACCTACCCCTGGACAGCATCACCCGTAATGGTTTGAATTCTCCCACATCACTCAACAATCTAGAAAATGCCTCTTGGACATGCTCATAGGCCATTCCAATAGAAGACATTCCTTAATTGAGCTTCCTTTTTTCCAGGTGTGTCAAATTGACACCCCAAGCCAACCATGACAATAGGCAACTCAGTGTCCATCTGCCTACAAGGCATTTGGGAAAGTCTGTCCAGCACAGTCACTGGTTCCTGAAGGCCTGGAAAACTTAACATAATCCTTGCTCTTTGGAATATTATACATCTTGTAAAGCATTATGTTGTCAATAGTCATTCCCAAGAAAAATATCCTAAATCAATCTGAAGAGTTCTAAAATTTTTACTAGCTAACAAATAATGTTTGCAAATTCTCAAGGTTAACACTGTTATGGGATGGAAAAACACAGCACAGAGTACTCTGGAATAAGGTTGCCTGTCTTTGTATACTGCTTATGAACCAAAAGACCTTGGGTGAATTAATTAACCCTTCAAGTTCCAAGACTGCATTGTCTAATACCACCTGATATCTTTACACAGCCACAGCTTGTGATGGAAGATTTTTGTTGACTGGGTCTTCTGGGTCTTTCCAAGCTGCTCATTATCCAAAGCCAACAGAACTGGGTATTGTTTGCAGGTGGATCATCAGGTAAGATACTGCTTTTTTATGTCCTGCTCTTAGGTCTGAAATCTTTACCATAAAATGTCTTATGCCTTTCCTTTCTATAGTATTTTTTAAACAGTAATACTTTCAGTTAACTATGAACAATATCCTCCCGTTTGACAAACCACTCCAAAGTTCTTTCAATCTTAACCTTAAAAAGAAATCTTTATCAGGCCTGGAGAGATGGCTCAGAAATTAAAGGCACTGGTTGCTCCTGCAAGGACCTTGGTTAGGTTCCCAGTACCCATAAGTTGGTTAACAACCCTCTGTTACTTCAGTTCCAGGAGATCCAATGCCCTCTTATGGCCTCTGTGGGAATTGCATTCATAGGCACACTTAAATACATATAGGCTAAACACTCATGCATATAAAATATTAATTAGTTTACTTCTATATAAATATTTTTTAATAAATAGGAACATTTTATTGGGCTCCTAAACAAGTTTTGTGTCTAAGATACTACCTCAGAATAATGGCTAGACTTCATGATAAGACTTCATTAGAATAGTCAAATAATTTAAATCGTTTTCTTTTTAAAATTGTTATTATATTAAAGAGGCATTTACCACACAGTTTGAGTTTTCCCAATGATGACCAAATATACGTGAAGACAATGAATTTTCTACAAGTTTAGAAGGCCAATTAAGTAGAGGAGAAATAGTTAATGTGCAAGTGGGGGCTGAATCTTCCCACCCTTGTCTTTATAACTTCACTTAATGCATTGCCAATGTTCCAGAATGTGTATACCAGAGATAATATTTTACATAAAAATCAAGACATCAGCTCTCAGACACATGAATAGATGTCTTTGACTCAAAATGTCTGCATCTACCTTGTTCAACATCTTTAAATATGGAATTCAAAGTCATTACAAAAAATAAAAGAACAGGAAAGGAAAAGGGCAGATATAATGGAGGACAGGAAATAGGTATGGGCCCTAAATGTCATCAAAACACATTGTATGAAATCCTGGAATCAATAAAACCCATATGTAAAAAACATAATAATCAAGAAAAGTGTTAGCATATAGCAAGTGGGCTATAAAAACATTAGCTAAGATACAAAACTACAAAGTGTGTGTATTAAATTTATAAAGGTACAAATTTGCTTTTTATCATTCTCTTTAAGAAATCAAAAGGTAACATAGATGTTTAATATTCTAACACTATAGGCTTCTAGTCTTCTATTATCTTACTTTATAAAGACCTCTGCTGTTTTGCAGCAAATTGGCTTTTCTGACCTAGAAGAGAGCAGAGAACTGCTGGAAATTGTTGCTCTCTTCTACTTCCAGTTTTCTTCCTCAAAAAGCCAGAGGTCACTGAGTGCAAAGGCCCCAGGATGCTCACCTTGTGGTTTTAAATATATAATTCTAAAGCTATATCAGGAAATAACTCATTATTTTCTTGCCTGGAGACACCACACTTCAATTAAAAAGTAAAAATCACCCTTGCCTTTTTGTCTTCTTCTTTGTGATTGACTCTGGCTTCCTTAATGCACTTACAAACTGGTTAACTTCCCCTTTCCCTGAACTGTGCTAACAGAAGCAGAACTGAAATAAACCTCACCAGCAGCAGGCTTGCTCTCCTCTCAGTCTGGGCTGGAGCTCTTTCTTCTCCTCAACCTCATCTATTTTCCCTTATCACACTTGTGTAGAAACCAAGGAAGTCTGTGCACCCTTTTTCTACCATATCTATCATCCTCTCATGGCCCTTAAATTTATGAGTGCCAATTAATAAATCTATCAAAATAAAAATTTCTGATGAGACTTCTCCTTTCTTCTTATAAACTGTTACTAGAAGCTACACAGATGATGTTAAATGAATAATCTTGTAATAGTGTCTATAAATATTAGATAGTGAAAAATGAGTTAACTAATAACTACTCTTGAGTTACAAATTTTGTTATATAATTGAGTTTTAAGACAGTGAATATGTAGCTAGTAATTTCATTAATATTGTAAAGGTTGATAGGTGATGTAATTAATAGAAGACAATATTGTTAAAATTCATGTACTCTGTAGATTCTACATTATCTCTAACCAAATAATAACAACATTGTATAGAAATAAACAGTCATGTGGAAAATGTAGGGCCTAAAACAGTGAAGAAACCTAGAAATAGGTCTAGTAAAAATTATTCGCAATTATTTCTTAGACACCAGCAACACAAGCAATGCAAGAAAATACAGATAACTAAGGTTGCTGAAAAATGAACAGCTTCTTGATGCAAGGGATATATTCAACATGGTAGAAACACAACTTACCAAATGAAAGATAGGATTTGCTTATCACTCGAGCTAATGACTAAATACCTAAACCACATAATGAATCCCTAGAACTCCTTAGAAAATAACAATAATGGTTTGATTGAAAATGAACAAAGTAATAATCAGATACATACAGTTTAGAGATGCGTGCACCAACAACTGTGTTAGTAGCAAAAACAATGAGTCTTTCTGCAAGGAACAATATATTCTAAAATGAAATGGAGATCTTTATTAAAGGTTAAAAAAGTCATTAAATTTTATGTCTTACACGGCTTATACTGAGTTCAATATTGTATAACTGAATTAACTCAACTGTGAACCTAGAAACTTGAACCTACTTGTGAAAGAGATGTACTCTTGCTCTGAAGTGTGTTACTGAATATGTTAAAGCTGTAGTGAAATGCTTCTTCTAATCATGTAGCTATTAAAAATTTAAAAAAATAATGATTAAGAAAATGAACAAAGTGGGGTGGGACAAATGGCTCAGTGGTTAAAAACACTGGCTGCTCTTGCAGAGGACACAGGTTCAGTTCCCAGCACCCACATGACAGCAACTATCTACAACTCCAGTTACCTGGGATCCAAGGTCCTCTTCTGGTCTCCATGGCATTGCATGCACATGTTACACTTACATACATCCAGATAAAACATCCAAAACATAAAATAAAAGCAAAATAAATTTTAATTTTTAATTAAATAAATAAAAATGAACAAAGCTTTTTACAAACACCAATCCAAAGACACGGAAATGGATAAGAAGTATATGAAAAGAAGTTTAATACACCAAATAAAATGTAAATATAGATCACAACCACCTGGACATTTTACCTCATGTCTGTTAGAATGGTCACTATATACAATAAAGCAGTAATAAGTTTTGGCACAAAAATGGAAAAATCTGAACTCATGCATTTAATAGTAGGAATTGAAAATGCTAGTTCTGTAATGCAAACATTGTATCATTTCTTCAACCAACTATAATCTGGTAATTGGAATTTTAGTTATTTATCTAAAACACTTGGAATTGGTGTCTCAAAAAGTTATTTGCAATTTCTTGCACATTGCAACATTATTCATAAAAGTCAGGAATTGGAAGAAACTGAATTTCCATCAATAAATGAAAAGGTAACAAAAATATAGAATATGCATTTGGTAGACCATTGTTATTTTGCATAGACAAAAAAGGACTGAAACTTGATAGCATTAAGTGAAATTATACAGGCACTCAAAGTAAATCCTGCATAATTTCACTAAAGTTAAATTCATATAAATGAAATGAATGGTATTTACCTAGGTCAGAGGAACAAAACAATGGAAAGATTTTGATTAATAGATACAGAGTTTCAGTTGTGTTACATGAAAATGTCCTAAATATTTGCTCTACATTAAGGTAATATTTAACAGCACAATATTATACATTTAAAATTTTCTAGGTTGACATATCTCACATGTTCCATAATGCAAGAAAAGAAAATACAAATTCTAGAATGCGTTAAGAACTTTGCGACAACTTAAGAATTTTTTTGTCTTTTTTTTTTTTTTTTGCCTTAAATTTAGTGTACTTCAAGGACTTTCCATTAAACTCAGCTTTGGATCTTTTATTTCATATTATACAGATGTGTTAGAGATTTATGAAGGTATAGGATCAAGCAAAATTTTAAGAGGTAAGTCAAAACAAATGCATAGTTGATTGCCATAATGAAAATACATGGGGAACTCTGGAAATGATAATTTTTCTGTTGATTTTTATCAGAATATGAACTTGAAGTTTAAGTTACATACATGAGAAAGCAGAGGTGGTCTTCAATGTAAAAATTAGGAAATGAGTTCTTTATGTTATTCTCCTTTTTATAAAATATCTACATGTACAATTTGACAGGATCCTCTTCTGACCAGTGTTTCAAAAATGATGTGATAAATGTATTAGTTATGCATTGCTTAAATGCTGCCCCCACTAAAGAAAATTCAGACCAGTCTTTAGAATTGTCTGTTCTTTGTCTCTAATACTGCATAGGTTTTGAACCCAGAGTCTCTGATTGTATTTTCACTACAGCGCTGTCTTTCTTGCAGACCTAGTAACAGCAGTAAAGTGGATAGCAGTGTCTTTCCTAAGAAGCACTCTCAGTACGAGGAGATATAAATGTGTTACAGTAGTCCACTCATTCATCACGAGAGCCTAGACATTGATACAAGCTGAGAGGAAGCAGGGAATGTACTGCTAGTCCACACCAACCATAAGAACTTTTCGTTATTCACTTGGCTAAACTGCACAGCTTGATTATCACACAGAATGAAATTAGAGGTAAAATTCCAGTAGGAGATTAAATGAGGATGACTAAGACAATGTGGCGTTTGGCTCACACATTGAGAGAAGTAGTCAAGTGCAGAGCAAGATCACGTTGTAAGAGACTCGATATAAAGTTTAGTGATTTCAACTTCTAAATTGTATGGATTATGAAAAATGAATCTTATCTAGTAAAATTCTTTTTATAGATTGAAAATGATAAATACTTAAACATTGACTAATATTTCTTTTTATATTGGTTACTATTGAGCTCGTATTGTACTGAATAATCTATGTGGATCTTCTCATTTCATATTATCAATAAAATTGAAAAACACGTATTACAGAAGAGAAAAATGAGGCAAAGGGAACAAATATCTATTAATTCAGAGAATTACTAAGAGCTAGAGGCAGAAATCGACACAAAATACTTTCTGCCTTCAAATATAAAACAATCATTTATTGTGATTCAAAGCCCAAGAACAAACACAGTGATGTGTGTATTCAGACACGTGAGTTCATGCTGTCACGCTTCACTGTAATGAATGGAACATCAAGTTTATAAACTGTCTTTGTAGCTGATTAATGCAGTTCCTTGAAGTAAAAATTCACACATCATATATGGGAAAATACTGTAGTTCAATTAAATATCACCAAAGGCTAATACAACGTTAGGAAATTTTAGCTACAATCATCACAATGTATAAAGTTGTGTTTCAGGCAAGATGTCACTTTAATGAATATTCCTGGTCCCAGAGGTAATATAACACATATTTTATTGACAATAAAAATATGACTTTACAGTTGATAAATGGAAATTAATTTTACAGATATTTATTTTTCAGATACCCTTAGTTTATTTGTAAAAATATATACACATATCGCCCTGAAATGTTGGGTTTATTAGGCAGTGTAATGTGGTTAATACAAGAGTAATTATCAAAATAATGTTATATAAAGCTAAAATCCACATGGAAAAAAATACCATGAAAGTATATATTTAAATCACAACAGGCAGTTATTAAAATATTTAAACTAAAATATATTTGAAATTTTTGACAAATAAATATATTAATCTTAACCAGGAAACAAATGAGAAAGGGGATTGGGTATTAAATTTTTAATTTTGATATTAAAACAGCAAGTTTTTAAACAATTAAATGTTATCTCTAATATCTAACAGACTGTGTGGAATTATAAAAACTCTGTATTTATTTATTTAAATTTAAACTGACATGTTTATACTTGATAATATTATAATATACTACACAATCATGGAGATAGCAGCTTCTTCATAAATTTAAAGTTATCTTTATTGATATGTATTTAAGAATTTTAACTTTGATTTACATGCTTTCAAAACTTCTTGCAACTTTAAATATGTATCTATATTTTTTAGAATGTCATACAACATGTTTTGATCATATTCAGACCCCATCACCTATCTGCATTCTCCCTTACTAATGAACCCCACCACAATTTCATGTCCTCTGTTATTACTTTTGAAAGGTATATCAAGTCTCATTTGTGTTCCCAAATGCCCTTCAGTGTGAATCAATTCCCTGGAATCATGTTAACTTGCACAGTTTCACACCCTTAAAGAAAACTGAGTCTCTCTCTCCCAGCAACTATCGGCTGCCAATAGTTCCTCAGCAGGTGTTGGAGTTTCTTATCTGCCATCCCGTCTCCCAGTACTCGTAATTTCATTTGAGTTTAAGTAAATCTTGAGCATGCTGTCACAATTGCTGTGAATTAATATGAGTAACTGCCATGCTGTCAGAAAAACACTATTTCTTTGTAGTCAACTACCACATCTGGCTCTTAAATTCTATCCACCACTTCATCCTCGATGATCACTGAGACTTGAGAGGCAAAAAATTGATCATGATGTCCCATTCAGGACCAAGCAATCTGTAGTCTCTTTAATTCCATGTGTGTTGATCAGTTGCCATCCACTGCAAGAAAGAACTCTGCTGAGAGTTGGGAGATGCATTAATCTATGGGTATAACAATACCACATTAGGACTTGGTTTAATACTATGTCCATAGCAGAGTAATAGTTGTAGATTCTCCCCAGTGGCCTGTGACCTGCTTAACCACAGGTTCCTAAGCCTCTTATCAGTGCAGCTATGGACTCCATCTTGGTAAGCAAATCCTAAATCCAATCAGAAAGTAGTTGGTTGCATAACATTTTTGACACTATTAAACCAGGGCATATCTTGACAGGACAGCGGTTATTGTAGCTTATAAGACTCACTTTTACTTTTCTCTTTTGGTGGTATGCTTGGCATCTTCTAGCACCATGGAAACTAGTCAGTAAAGATGAAACTTTAAGATCAGTTCCAGCTTGATTTATCTCTTTTTTTGTTTTGTTCTATGGTGCACACACACACATACACACACACACACACACACACACACAATTGTTTAGCATTCACTGAGCATTCGCTAGGTAGGGGTCATTATTCTACACAGAAGTTATTTATTCCATAGAACAAATATTAATGAAAAACATGGAATTACAATAGAGTGAATGCAGGGACAAAGAAGTCCAGTAAGACAAGAGCCACAACTAAATTGAATACTGAGTCTAGAGCATGAGCTCTTAAACTCTTAGCCCTCTGGTGTCTTCATTGATGCCTAACACACTGCCTGTCCTATGATTTGCAAATGTAAGGATCTAGCAAAACTGTTAGGGATGCTATTGAACCACCACACTGTGATCCAGCAAGAAGCCATTTTACTAAGAGTTTTAATGTTGTTAGGAGAAAGGCAGGTAGGCTTAAAGCAGTTTTTAAAGTAGCTGCTTAAGAGATGTGAACCTAGTAAATGTGATATTACTCCTTTTGAAAATGTATATGGTAAGCTACAAATTTTTATAAAATCAAGTTTGGGATTAGAGAGATGATTCACCAGTTAATAGTGTTTCTAGTTCTTCCAGAGGACCTGGGTTTGGTTACCAGCATCCACATAGCAGCTAACAACTGTCCCTAACTCCAATTCCAGGGCATCAAATGCCCTCTGCTGGCCTCCATAAGCATTGAATACACATGGTGCACTTAGGTACATGGAGGCAAAACACTCATACCATAAAAATAAGTAAAATGTCTCATATAGCAATATTTTTATAAATTATTTGATAACTTTTTATATCATAAGCATATCAATTCCTGAGAATTAAAAGATGAAAATTATTTCATAGGCATCACAGAGCTAAGGCAAAGCAACATTATGATCATATACAGGGCTGTGAAACATTCTTTACATCATCCAGAATTACTTTCAGGTCCTACAGTTCTATGGGTAAGCAGGCAAAATAAGCACTGGTTTGCCTCTGCTCTTTTGACCCTTTGTTAACTAGCATTAGTGTGGCACAGGAGATAACAGGTAGAGTCAAGCTAACTTTTATTCCTACTGTTTAACTTTTATGCTTTTTAGAACTTGCTTATTAAAAGAATTCTTTTCTTTTTATGGCATATATAGTATATGTATATAATAATTCAAAGTATATTCTTTTATAGCTTCTCTTATGGAATCAAATCCTGGTGACATTAGAATTTTTTCCCATCAAGTTACAGTGACCTTTCTTATACAATCTGATGAAAATGATTATGTTGGCTTTAATGCCACATATAGTACATTTAACAGCAGTGAACTTGATAGTAAGTACTTTCTATTCTTCAGCCTTTCACTTTTCAGATGTTTCAATGTTTTAATAGCAGCAGAACCTAAATTTTACACTATGTAAATTCTTTGTAAGATCTTATGTACATCTCTCTTTGCATGATAGTAACAAATTAATACTCTGTAGCAATCAATTAGCCATTTTGAGAAAAATTACAAATCAATATCAAAGTTAAATAAAATTCCTATGTACATCAACATGACAATTGAAAAATTATTAGCACGAAACTAATTCAGAAAAAATTGCAACATGAACTTAATTTTGCAACTTAAAAGTGCAACATTTCTGTTATGAAACCAGTGTAAACAAGATATAAAAATTAAGCAATGAAAGTCTGCTTTCATATAGTCCTCCTTGTTGTAAGAGACATAATTGGACACAGTTGGAAACAAATAGCTATAGTTAACTAGAATTGATCTGTATTAAGAGTAATAAAGAATCCACTATGCATACCAAGTAATTAAAAGCTATATAAACGAACTATTTTCAATATTATCTATCATAACTGTTTGTTATGTATTAAACTGTTTGTTATGTATTAAACTTGAGAAGTTTTGGATTTTTTTTATATATACAGATTATGAGAAAATCAACTGCAATTTTGAGGATGGGTTTTGTTTCTGGATCCAGGATCTTGATGATGATAATGAATGGGAAAGGATTCAAGGACCAACATTTCCTCCTTATACTGGACCACAATTTGACCACACTTTTGGAAATACTTCAGGTATAATTTATTATTATTCAAAGATAAAGTATTATTCATGAATCAAAAGGAAAGAGTGAATTTTCTCATTTAAACCCAGCATCATTGAATAGAAAGAAATCTTTTCGGGTCTTTATTTAATTATCAATGAATATCATTTAAATGACAAATGGCAACCAAATATGTAAGTACAAAAGAATGGGTTTCACAAAGCATATTCTTTTACTCTGTATGTTTATTCCTAAGATGTCTAAAAGTGATAAAAAAAACTTTAAAGATAAGGAAACTAGTTGACACCCTAGCTTTGCCATTTATTAGTAACTAAATAGACTGTGTAAAATAATTAAATTTCTGAGCATTGGTCTGCTTTGCCTTAATTTCATTTCCTGATCATTCATCGTGTAAATAGAAATATATTCTGGTTTTGTATATTTATACAGTACTCAGAAATCTTGCTGAACTTATCAGTGCAGATAGATTTATTTTTTAAATTCCTTATAATTGTGAGTATACAAAATCATATCTTAAAACAGAGATAAGTTCACTCCTGATAGGAAATATGGAAACCTGACATCAGAACATCAACTTCAAGGGAAAGGTTGTGATGTTTAAATATATCTTACATGTGAATGAGATGTTAGAATCAGATTCCATGAACAAACACTGACATTGGAAACAATTATTATTTGACCACAAAAGTGAAAAACTATGGAGAAGTATAAGTATAAGAAATTTCAGTGGAAAGATACTCCTGAGACACATGAACTCACATATTCATAACACAAAATAGACTAAGTGAAATAAACGTTAACAAACACCAGTGACTCATAAAAGCTAAGGACAAAAATCACAAAAGTAAGAGTAAAAATCTATTTATGGGATTTTCTTAGAAAAAAAAATCTATTCTACAATATGTTTTGTTGATAAGATCCTGATGAAAATACAGTATCGAGACTTTCCTTTTGATAATACATAGTTATAGATACTAAGAATATGGATCATATGTCCCAGATTCCAGAAAATCTGTGAGAATATTGACATTTAATTCTTATTTCTATTAAATATTATTTGTTTATCTACTAGTAATTTTCACCATGTATTCTTTCCAGCAACAAGAACCTAGTCATTTTATCTTTGATATCTAATCAACATCTAAAGATATTTATGAATATAACAATAAATATCCACATATCTGATTCAATTATCCATTCTGAATAACTTATCCAATGAAAAAATTATAACATAAAGTCAAAGCACGTGTACTTAGTAATTTATTATTAATGATCATTCATATCACAAAGACCAATATCTTTAGTATATGACTTGGAAAATACATGGTTGATTTAATTTTACCTGCGACTGATAAAAGATAATGAAAAGATAATTTTTCAGAACACAGGAGTGTCCGATTAACTCTGGTCCTTTCAACAGAAACATCTGGATAATAGAAAAATATGACCACCACATATGCTCCAATTTAATCAAAATAATTTTTACTAAAAAGTGACCATATTTAGTATATTTTTACAGTAATGACCAATGTTGCTTTCTACTTATTCTTTGATTCATTTCTGGAGCCCTTGGCCTTACTCAAGACATAGTCAAGAATCTCAGAATACATCTATGGACAAAATAAATTATATGTTCTAATTTCATTCATGTATATATTCCACTAAAAATTAAAAAGGTGATATATATGAAGAGCCATTTGGTACATTACATGAGGATTCTGGGAAAATATAAAGCCTTGAAAGGGGAAGCAGGAGAAAAAGTGCTAATTAAATTAGAACAATCACTTTATATGTCATTGAAAAGTGACATGAATAAAATGGTAATAGATATTAATTACCTATACATATCTTATACTAGACAGAGGGAGCAAAGACAGCTAAAATTGAGAAAAGGAGAGCATGCTTGTCCTTTCTGAGGAAAAGTCAGTAGGTCAACTAGGTTGGAGTGAAGTGAGGAGAACAGTAAGATGTATATGAGGTGACTTCCATGACCCTTTCATACTGAGTATCAGGATCAGGTTGCAGTTCATGAGCAGAGAAGTGTTAGAAGTCATGCTAACTGGAAGGCTCAGACCAGCTTGTAGAAAGGCAGATGAAGGGAGGGAGACCACTGAATGGCTGTCCACTGACCCAGAGAAGATGGGAGCCAAATCAGAGAGCAGATGGAGTGAGATTCTGCATATAATCTGAAAGGAATAACAGTAGTTACTAGTCATTATTATGTATTAGTAACTAGCAATTACCAGATATAAATGAAAAATAAATTCCCCTTATAAACATATGCATAAATGCTCTGCATTGATGAAAGATACCATAAGAAAAAAATTAATATTGAAAATATGACATGAATATTCTTCTATATTATAAGGCTTGAGATAAATTATTTCCCAGGGCTTGAGCCCACCTGGTTAAATTACTAACCTGCCCAGATGAAGACTAAAACTTAGGTCATAATTACTCTGGTCCTCTAAAGACAGATTGAAGCAGTCAAATAATGAGATCATTTTTTCCCTATTATGTTAAAAAAAATGAAATTTCTGTACCAGACTTGAACAAGAGTTAGAGCAAAGTACAGATAACCATTACTATCTATTGACTATGACAGATACTTTTTATGTATTTGAAATCTTTGATGTTCAAATTATCATTTTCTACTTTTATGTCATCATAATGAGAGATAAAATAATCCCATTGATATTTGAAAAGCCTAAGTACAATACAGGAGAAAAATGATTTCAGCTTGCAAACAGTTTAAATAACTAAAGAAATATGAAACTGGCCAACATGTAAAAGTTTGAATGTCAAGAGGAAATTTTAAATAGTTGGGAGGGAAATGGAGTCTCAGGAGAAAGTTATCTAGCAGGAGTTCTTTAAAATTAGACAAGGTAGAGCAGGTCAGAGCACACCAGAGGCAGGAAGTAATGAGGGTGATGGTGAGGTTTGATAGATCTTCTCCAACACTCAAGCCTGTGATTTCATAATCTACCAGTCATTCACCCTTAGGGGCATTTTTCTTCCAATTGACCTTTTTATGTGTCAGAACACACTGAATCTGAAAGGAAAGAGAATTAATCTCCCCTGCTGTCTTCTTATCAGTGCAGTTCTTTTGTTCTTCCCCTTCACTTTAAATGGCCAGAGTCTAAATGGAGCAGATAAACTTTGAATTAGAATTGCTGTAGGGAAGAACATCTAAGCAACTTCACTTTTTCTAGACCTTCCAAGAACTCCTTATTGGTGAATACACAGCTTCTAAATCATATCGTTGCCAACTCTCAGGATTTCTTTGTACCTCTTAGAAGCAAAAGGAATGAGGAGATGATGGTACTGATAAGGGGCAGTCACTTGACAACTCAGAGAGGTCTATTTGTTCAGAACACTTGTAGCAAATGGGGTTAGTAAGATAGGAAGACCTCAGAAATGTAGGAGTGTCACAAAAGGGAAGGAGAGTGTGTGTAGAAATGTTCCTTTCCTCTTCTTTTCAATAGAATTGTAACTGTTTCTAATGCTTTAAAAGGCAGCGGTGCTGTAGAACTAAATACAATGAAATGCAGACCCTGGAGTCTTAGCTAGGTTCAAATCTCTGACGTCCCAATGAGGTAAATTATCTTTCTTTGTTGTCTACCTCAGTTCACTGTTCTAGAAAGCAAGGTTGGACATTAGAGGAATCTTATAAACGTTAAATTCAGTACTATGCAATACAAATGTGAGGAAAATGTCTGGCAAAAGTGTCACATAGTATATTACAACTATTTTCTTTTCATATCACAAAAGTATTCAAAAGAAAAAAAATTGTCCATGATACTAATCTAAGTGCTTCCTTAGGAGGAAAATAACTGTTTGGCTCGGTTTTCAAAAACACATTATGCTTTTAGATATTTGCACTTCGACTTGTCAAATAAACTTAGGGTAACTAAAAAGTCTTTAAAAAGTAAAATCATTTATTTCTTCTCTTTTTAATATTATATTTTAGGAAATAATAGAACTTTCTGATATTTATGTAATCTGACTGAATTTAGACCAATCTCCAAATTAAAACATTCAATATTTATTTATTTACTAGATTCGGCTATTTTTATGCACACACACACACACACACACACAAGAGTTACAAAGTCACTTCTATCAGCCTCTTTTCTAAGGGACTTCCAATTTTCCAGAATGCACAAACATTTCTCTGACTCTGCTGTCCACATAAGCGTCAATACATGCCAATCATTTATATCCTTAATTAGGATATTCGCTGGAGAGAGTTTGCGTTCATTTCATAGAAAGATGAGCATGAAAAGTGACAGAAGAATGGGGTAAGAAAATCCAATGATTCAGTAAAGACGTTCACTGTGCTTAAATTAGCCAAATGTATTCATTTTCCTGGCTTTAAGCTAATTCTGAAGTTATTTCAAGAGTTCTTGAACACATTTTCAGAAACTAAATAATTTCAAAAGATAGTATTTAAACATAGAAATTCCTTATGGTTATGAAAAATGACTAATCATTCCTTTTGTGTATAATTTTAATAACTGTGAAGATAAGTCAAATTGGTATAACAAGAATATATTTAATAACACAAAAATGAACAAAATGACAGAAATTTTCAAAAATTCTGAAAGTTTAAAAAAATAATATACAGCAGTGTTGGGGAGTGGGGATTAGTGAGAAAAGTTCTCCAGGCAAGCATGCAGCCCTGAATTTAATCCTCAGCACTGGTTAAAAAGCCAGGATGGTAGCAGCATTTGCAATCCAATAGCTGGGGAAGCAGATACTGGAAGATCCCTGGGACCCCCCTGGTCAGTCAGTAGGAGACCCTGTAGAAAAAATAAAAAGGAACAGCTCCTGAGGTGAAACATCAAGGTTGACCTCTGGCTTGCATATGCATGTATCCACACACATGTACCTGAACAAACATGAACACTCATACACAACTAAGCACATATACATATATGTACATTAAAAAAATAATAGGTTTGTTTGAGAAGGGTCCCTGGTGCCTGTAGGACCATTTCTGTATGGTCA